TAGTAACAAAAATTTTGGTATCTCTCTCGGATTCCGAGATATTAATTGGAATGTTAATTGTTAAATCAACTTGTTATCCATTACTCTTTCGTTACTGAGTTGATTCATTGATGAAGTTTTGGTTGGATATCTCGAAGGCCGCGGGAGACAGAAAAATTTTGTGGGAACCTTTTTCGTAGCTCTGGAAATTTCCTACAAAAAAGGTCCTGACGAGTTTCCATTATCTCCCCTAGATTCAGAGATATTTCAGGAAAACTCATGAGATACAAAACTGGTTTTTTCCATTACTTTTATTTTTTCTATTTTCGCCCTTTGTGTCATTTTTCTCAGCTCCTCATCATTCATCAGAAGCTATCCATTTTCTAAAATTAAAGAAATGTCCCTGTTGTTCTCTTCTTGTGTCAAACGAGTTCACTGGAAACTCGTCAGAGCAATAAAACCAAATAAAAATTATCTTGAAGCATCTCGAACTCGTAATCCACGTGGGTTTACTACAACATAAATACGTACGAGCCTCAATATTTTGTTTCACACGTTGAGTGCATCATAGAACTGTTTTTAACAATAACATCAAGCTATTTTACGAGGCAATAAATAATTTTAACTGCATTCTTTGTAAAATTGATGAATTCAATCAAGTGGAAAAATTGTTGCCAACAATTTCCCTCTCTCAATTACCATTCCGGATCATACCATAAATAATTACACCAACAATTAAAATTGCATAACCGCAATTCAATAATTACCCCATAAAGTAACCCCTCAGTAATTCCCTCCTGAGATATTTATTTAAAAAACGGAAATTCAAATAGAAAACAAAAACTGAATTACTACTGTCTCCTGTTTTCGACGAATAACTCGAAATCCCCACGAGATATAAAAATTATTATCAGAACCTTTTTCGTAGAGTGTAATGAGAGGTACAAAAAAGGTAATAATAAAAATTTCGGTATCTCCCTCGGATTCTGAGATATATTCGGTGTTAAGTGAATCTGCGTATTTCCCTTCGTCGATAATGACGTTTTAATTAACTTCTAATTGATTGTAATTATATATTGACGGTGAAAGGGGGGTTCAATGAAAATTAAACAGCCAGTGGTCAGTGGTCGAAGGGATTTACAGTTGATTCGATGGACAACACTATTTACTCTATTTTGCACGTGCTTTATTGCGCAAGTGAAAATTCATCGCGGCCGTCAAGATCTATTTATAATCACACCCGCTACATATTTAACCTGCTCTATTACATACATATTTACATATTTAACCCCTACCCAATCCCCATCATTCATCTGTGACAATTTTTTATTCTCATTCTCTCAGAATTCATTGTCAATAACAATCTTCAGTCTACTCAACATCAATTGTACAAAATTATTATTTCCATAATTCATGATATTAATTAATTAATTACTGCTCTCCCTGATGACGACCTGAAAAAAGCCCTTAAAATAATCGTTGAATTACTATGAGACTTGAATATTCTAGGTTTTTTCAAAATTTTCCAAATTTATTTTTATTTCAAACCAAATAATTGAAGAGAATTTTTTTAATGAGAATTAATTGCAATTGTGTAATTAGGGGAATTTGTTGAAGAGTAATTCTCGTGGAGAATTATCATTTTCGTTTTAATATTAACAATATTAATACTGATATAATTATATGATTTCATAATTATTACTATTGAGTATATTAATAATTTTTTATTAATAATTAATATTTAATAATTACAATTATAATTGCAATTACAAAATGACAATTTATTGATTTCTGATTGTTAATAATAATTATTTTATTCCAATTAAAATCCAATCCTAAAAATATTCAGTCCAAATCTTTCGGTAAAATATCGAAAATTCAATAGTTAATAATAAATATTTCCAGATGTTCATAAATTTTCACAAACGATTCGGAAAAATCTCCCCCACTTGCTCCGATAGTCTCGTCAATAAGTCGGAGCCCATTATCATCTCAAAATACAAGAAACTTATTTAATCCATTGATAAAAAATGGCGATAAGATAACGAGAGAGAGAGTAGTTCGAGGGTCGGTCTCATCTACGTAACAAAATCATAAAAAATCCGCGGAAAGTATTAACGAGACAACAACTAATGCGTAATCAACATAAATTAAAACCGATAAAAATCATATCGAATAACAGTCGATATCGATTAAAACAGCATCTCGTGCAGATCGATTGAATAAATTGATCAAGGCTTTGAACATTGTCCATCGTCCAATGAAATGTTATATTCCACTTGATTATACAATAACAACTCATACAATTGGGCTCGATATCACGTTGCAGGGGATTCAATGCAACAGCCAAAGCCGAATTAATCGATCACTATTGGCAAACGCTCCATTTTGTACTCAGCTGTTGCACTAAAGTAATTTTATGTACATATGTAATCGAGTAAAAATAGTCGCGATATTTGAATTTAACTCATTTGCAATTGCATCTTCAATTCAAATTTCCCAACAAAAAAAAAAGGCAAAGTTGTACTACATAAATTGATTTGCTTCGATTGCAATAATTTTGTTCATCGAATAAATAATAAATTAATAAATAAATTCAAATGTCTGTCGATCAGTTGAGGTAAAAGTTGGTGTACTCTTCGAGCCCAGATTTTCGCGAATATCTCGGAATCGGAGAGAGATGGTGAAATTTTTGTTGATACCTTTTTTGCAGCTCTCATTTTTACGCATAAAAAATGTAGATACAAAAATATCGATATCTCTCTTCGATAATGAGATATCGCTTTAAATTTGATCTCGAAAACGCAGGGAATTATTCAAGTCTACCACTTCGCTCGAGAGTTATCGATAAGTATCTTCTAAACGAGGAGAGATATCGAAATTATTCTCTGAACCTTTTCTGCACTCCACACATCGCTCTCCAAAAAAGATCTTCATGAAAATTATCCTATCTCTCTTCATTTACGAGATAATCGAGGATAACTGACCCGGGGTGAGATGCGCTCACGTCAGTCATCGAATTCACTGAGGATTCCTTTAATTCTACTTTCTAAATAAAAAAAGGAGAAAAGGAAAAATGCGGTTGAAAAAATGAAGATGATAATCCATGGAAACGGAAAAATTTTATTTATTATTTCCAGTGGAATCGAGTGCAAGGATGAGGTGTACAGCGTACGTCAGTTGGAAGCGCGCAGCGCTGTCGAGGAGCTAGAGAAATCCTCAAAATCCCAGGAGGACGTTATCCTCCCAGTCCTCGCGCCAATCGAATCCGAAAAAATTCCAGTCGAGGTTGAGCCCATCATTCCTGTCAAACGCACAAGACCCCAGACAGTTACAGCATCTCTTTTCAAGGATCTCGAGCCAGAAGAGGATAAACCACTCCCCAGGATCAACAATATCACCGAAGAACGCAAAGGGAAACGATCCCCTTGGCTATTCCAGGTAAAGTGGATTGGAATCAGCAGGAAATGTCGTAAAATCTACTTCTTCCCTTTTCTCACCTCCGAAAACATCAAAATATCCCAAACACCCGTCACTTCTCAGATCAGAAATCCAAAGGATTTTTTTTTCGTGAATTCAATAATTCCTTCATTACCCTACAACGGAGAGAGATACATAATTTTTTGTTAAAACCTTTTTTGTAAAGCGGAATTAGAACTACAAAAAAGGATTTAACAAAAATTTTGCTATCTATCCTGGATTTCGATATAATATTGTTAAATCAACTCATTACGTTGAGAGATAGAGAGAGCTGTCAAATAATATTTTATTCACCCTATTTGTCACTGTCATAGTGACACAATAAAAAAGTGGCTGAAATATTTGTAATGTCATCATTTTCTTCCCTCGCCTATGGCCACCTCTATTGATCTCCAGCTCTTCGATTTTTTTTTTTCCAGGAGAAACCAGTTGTGGATTACGACCCCTCACGCCACCGAGGTCTCACCCGTTCCCAAATCCCCAGGAGTCAGCAATCGCAGGACAATCACCTGTTAACAGGTACCTGCAGGCCACCACCGCAGACAGCGACAGCCAGTATCTTCGCTCCTCGCACCGAGGAGATGAACACGGGTTTTCTGATCTTCAGTGAGGATCAACCAGGATTGACGATGTTGAAAGACGAGCCAGAGGATCTGACGCACTTGGCACCAACCCCAGGTGACGTCTGTGTTCCCTTGGAAGACACACCATTCCTATCAGACATGCTGGACGATTTTATCCTGGGAAACGAGGTGTACTGTCCCCTGCTGAGTCCATCGCTTCCCCCGGATCTTCCCAGTGGTCCAGACCTCTCTGACGACACCGACAAGACCGATACCCTGGTGGATCCTCTGAACGCCTCCATCGCCGAGACAGATCCCTTCTTCTACAAAGACACAACGAGTCCTGGTTGCAGCCAAAAATCAGAATCAGGTCTTCTGACACCTGTACTGAGTGGTAGCCCTTCACCGCAGAGTCTTGACTCCTCGCTGCGCAGTCCTGGAGATGACAGTACACCTCTCGGCTCAGCTATATCAGAGGATGATATGTTGATGCTGAGTATCAATGATGTCATTGCTGATGAGGAATTAGCACTCAGGGCTCCCTACATACCCATGTCTGATCAGGACGAGGCACTCCAGATGCTCATCAGTGATGATATGGTCATGTGGGGACCTACGGAGGGCTCTGATAAAAAAATCAAATGGTAATGATGGCAATGGTGATGATGATGATGATCATTCTCATTTAAATTAGTCTATAAAATAATAATTAAAATAATTGAGATGAATCTGTCCGTGAAATTATTCACAGAAATTAATGTTTTATTTTATTTTTCTTTTGGGAATCAGGGACACTGAGGACGAGATGTCCAGGCGCTACGCAGACTCCAGTCTAGCTAAATTGCTGAAGAGTTCAGGTGATGATTTAGAGAGAAATGTTGTGGATCCAGTTCAGGCGTTGGGACAAACGTGTAGAAGAGGTAAGGAGTTGTAAATATAATCGTAAATATAATTTTGATGATTGGAATGAAGGAAAAAAATTGCAAATGATGTTGACGATCTCAGGAGGATCTAAACGTCATCATGGGACGAACTCTCTGCACACCGGTACGCAGACAAAACGCATAAGATCGACACAAGAGACTAAAGAACGTGCAACAATCACTGCCAGTAAAATTCCAACAGATTTGTCACCAGTTGTCACTGGTGGTGATACAACGGTGACAGGAATAAATCCACAGGTCAGTACGAGACTTCAGGATATTGAGGACATGAAGAGAGCCAATCTGATGGATCAGCTGATGGGGGAGACTTCTGAGGGACAGAGCTCCACTGTTTTTGAAGGGAGAAGAGAGGAATTCAAGGAGGACGATGGAGGTGGTGGGTTTAATGGAAAAAATGTCAGGCAGTCTAACAGCGTTCTCATGAATCTACTTGTTTCTGGATGCGATGTGAGTGCGGGTTACGTTTGTCTTGTTAAACCGAAAATCAACAATAAGAGCATCACGTCCAAGTGAATGATAATTCGACTGCCAAGTGAAAGTTTTGAGGATTTTTTGAGAATTTTCGGGTGATTAGTCTCAAAGAAACTCTATACAGCGTTTAGAGATATCAATTTATCTCGAAAAATCGACAGATCTATCGAATACTACGAAAATAATCGATTTTGGGAATATTTTGTATTCTACAGTGATAAATTGCGTATTGTATTTTAGGGGTGACACATTCAGTGACAGTTGAATCTTTTTTTATTTTATGGAGATATATTTTTATATGGTTTTTCCCTCCATAAAAATGTTGAGAGTGAGAGAGGAGGTGGAATTTTTTTTATTCTCGTTTCGTTTCACTACCGAAGGGAAAAATTATGATGAGTGAATTTTTTTGACACCAGTTTTTGGGCGATATCTCGGAATTGATGGAGCCCATCGATTTTTTTGTACCGACATTTTTTCTAGGTCAAGGTGAGAGCTACAAAAAAGGTAGTCACGAAAATATCGATATTTTTATCCGATCTCGAGATATTGCCCAGAAATTGATTTCGAAAAAAATGCACTTATCGTAGTTTATCAATACATGACGATTTCCGGTCAGAGAATTTAGGGAGTTGTCCAATATTATTCGTAGAATGGATAGTGACAGCACAAGACCTAGATTCTGGTGTTAAATGCCTCGAGGATATTGAATTATCGATTAATCGTGGAGGAGCTGAATATTTCTGCTCAGACAACACTGAAAAGACTTCATTACACTAGAATTTAAATAAATTTCATTGTATTGTCATTCACTTGGATGAGATAAGGTCAGGCACGAAATAATCTCTAGATGAAGGTATTGTGAAGATATTTTGAGGTGAAGAAAGTATATATGAAAATTGTTGATTGAAAAAGAAAATATTATTGAAATACATGTGGATACTATACTGGAAAACCCTGACGCTGCGTTTCAATGCTTTCCCCTCTTTCATTCCATTTTACCCCGCATTATCCAATTACTGTTTGATTTATCCGTCAATTATGTCGACCATTCAATTAGATTTTTTTTATTGCCAATCAAAACGAGAGAATTCTTTATTCTGTTTTTGTTTTGTGATTAATGTATTTTTGTCTGCCATTTGTCTCAATTTATTTCGACTATTCCCTCCATTAGACGATTTATTACGTCACCATTGGGTGCCACGTCGGTGTTTTTTTTTATGGATAGCCATTGGTATTATGCAATAATCCTCGAATAAATAATTGAAGGTGAGGCGATGGAATTGGATAATTCACGTGGAATTATTGACATGAGAATCTCTGAACGCCCACTTGTTTAAAGTTCTCTGTCATTCCCCTTTTCATTATCTATTCCCAGTCCTAGATGTAGAAACGCAGTAGATAGTTTTCACGTATGGAATTTTAATTATTTTAATTATGGAATTTTAATTATTTTTCATAATCTTTTGTAATTTATACAGAAAATTATCGAGTTATCACAATTACATGTGGCTGATAACCAGTTATCGGTGAATATCTCGTGAACAAAGGGAGATATCGAAATTTTTATCAGAACCTTTTTTCTAGGGCGAGTATCGCTCTACAAAAAAGGGATCAACGAAAATTTCTGTATTTTTCTTCATTTACGAGATATTCACGGGGGACTCAGTGAAATGGGTTTTGAGAGAAATTAGTCTTATCTTCAATTTGTTTTTTCGTTGTAAACAGGAGATGTACGTGGATTCATCCCGTGTACAGCTGAAAAAACGTCAACCCCTGATGATAAACACCGAGGAACACCACGTAAATATCTCTACGAATTATTTGACAGCTTACACGATGAACCCAGAGTCACCAAGTCCAAAGAAACTCCTGGAGGAGAGCATATCATCGCACATGATCCCCACAATTAATCCCCAATTAATGGAGATGAATGATTACACCTACATAGGCGATGGGACACCCCTATCCCCAGGTTCAGAGCTCCTCAGAGTTCTCAGTGAAGTCTAGAGGGTGATTAAGGTAGAAATTAATATAATCGTGGCCTTAATCCACTGTCTCACGAAATTTCGATAAACAAATAGAACTCCGACGAGTCATTTAGCCCTCATTATCACTTCTAGATCATCTCCAGGGGCTGGAGCCTGATATCAATTTTAAAAAATGAATAAACGCAGTGCACCATACGATTTTATCTAAAAATCTCGTCCTGTTCTGTCGATTTATCAACAAAAAGCCATTGTATATTTTCTATTCTTGTTTTTTAGTTGTCGATGCATTTTTCGATTACCTACCGAATTATTGTTTTTATTTTTAAGGTTTTAAGTGATCGATAAATTGAGTAATGAATTCTAAGTGTAGATTTATTTAAGAGTTAAGGGAGAGATGAATATTCGAGTTTCGAGGGCTCTGGAAGAAATGAGAAACTTGTTCTCTTGTTTAATCAAATGGTAATTAATTACCGATAATTGAATACATAATGCATATGTGTAACAAATATTTTCATTTCATATAAAATTGTATACGTTTTTGTCCCAATGCGAGACACCGCATTCGGTGCAATTACCAATTTTTTATATTGAATTAAAAATTATCTCCATTAATTGTTTTCCTTTAATTCAATCCCTGTAAATTTTTAATAAAAAATTGTATAAAAGACTTGACCATTACTTTATCAAAGAAACAAATTTATTCAAAAAAAAAGTTGATAAACAAAAAAGAAAAACTTCTCTCAATGTTAAATATAAAATATTGAGTTAAAACTACGGGTGAGAATCGCCTCTTACAATAAAATAAGACTTGTAAATATATTTTCAAAATTTTCTCATTCATTTTCTCTTTATTAAAAAAGCAAAACAGGCCATTGGTTCTTGCTTCATGCCCACATTATCGTAACTAATAATAATTAATAGATTTAATTAAGAAAATTGTTTGTTTGTTCAATAAAAAAACCATTTATTGGACACTGATAATTGAATATGCTGCGGTCCCAGCGTTTGAACCAACGAATAAAGGAAAAATGATAAGCAACGATTGGGAAAGGGGAATACAGATATTGCCCACACGTTTGAATAATTATCTATACAATTACAATTAGGCTAAAAATAATGGTGCTTGCAGTTATTTCACTTCGATAGTTAATTTTTCCTCATCTCCCATCACAATCATACACGATTTCAATTAATTATCAATTATTTAGTTCATTCGGGATGATTTCTGTAATTGAATGATGATTTTTTTAAATTCAGGAACAATTAATTGCTATAATTATGTTGTTTCAACATTTAATTACAGCCGGAATGAAGGAATCTTGAGAATTTATTAAATTTATCAATCTTCGCCGGATAAAATGTACCTTTTGTCAGTTTTACTTCGTTTCATCTTCATTCAATTACAGACTGTTATCTTATCTTACGAAAATTCGAATCACTCGCGCCCTTTTAACTTTATCATTACCAACACGATTACTCAGAAGGGCTATTAAGGTAAGGGTAGCTAAACGAAGATCATAGTTCATCCGCATTTTCATGACTAATAATTTAATTAATTATCGATTGATTTTATTTTATCTCAATTATTCTCAATGGTACTCTTCAATTTTTCAGTGATTCTCTCACGATTTTTTTTCGGCATTTTGTACAACCCGGGTGATTGATGGTCCTTGGGGGGAGGGAGGATGTTTGTAAAAATGAATTACTCCCCCTGTGGAGGGAAAAACAAAAATTTTCATCATTTTTTCTTTCTTTTGCCATTTTCGATTTATGTTTCTTCGTAGTTGTCAACCAAATACATCGATTAACGTCGTGGTGGCTCCAATGGTCGATCCGCTCAACCGTGCACAGGGTAATGACGTATTGTGATGGTATTCTGAAAAATAAAACGAGAAATCATCAAATTTTCATTGAAACACATGAACAATTTACGAGTATCATTCTGATTCATGAGTTTTAACCGAAAATCTCCAAATCTACGGGAGATACCATAATTTCCGTAAGAATCTTTTCCCGAGAGCTAATCGCGAGCTACAAAAAAGGTAAAAACCAAAATCCCGTTATCTCCCATATTTCCGGAGATAACCCGAAATATTCATGAGTGCAACTCACTTGGTTATTGAATTGGGAGTAAAAGAGTTGGAAGTTTCAGCAGCATCCAGATTTAGGTGCATCAACATCACGACCTTGATTAATCTTCACTTTATTAGCAGGATCGACAGCAGTATCAGAGGATGATCCAACCCTTCCCTTTATCTCAGCTGCCATTGTCATGAACGCCTGCTCCACATTCATGGCATTCTTAGCCGAAGTCTCCAGAAATGGAATTTCCAACTGATTAGCATATTCCTAATAAACAAAAGCCCAATTACCCATTACTGAAATACCACATCAGATAATCCAATAATTATCGCAATCACTTCGCATAATTTCTCTCATTATTTCATTATGAAAATTTTTATAATTTTTTTTTTATTGCTTTTACCTTCGCAGCTTCATAATCAACAACTTTTTTAGCAGTAAGATCGCATTTGTTGCCGACCAGCAGCTTGTTGACGTTGTCACATGCGTAACGATCAATTTCCTCTAGCCACTGCTTGACGTTGTTGAAAGAGTCCTGATCCGTACAATCGTACACAACAATTATACCGTGTGCACCTCTGTAGTAAGAACTCGTTATTGTTCTGAATCTCTCCTGTCCAGCTGTATCCCAGATCTGTAGTTTTATCGTTTTTCCGTCTAGATCGATGGTCCTTATTTTAAAATCCACACCGATTGTAGATATGTAGCTCTCCGTGTACGTGTCATCGGCAAAACGCAGGAGTAAACAGGATTTACCCACACCAGAGTCCCCGATCAAGAGGAGTTTGAACAGATAATCGCTGAAAATTCAACAGAAGATGCTCTCTTAATTAATAATCCTACGTTTTTAAAACTCTTTCTATTTCCTCGAATTATTTATTCATTTTATCATACCACTGTTCATGATTCATGATTCATGATTCATTTGTTATTTAAAAGATCTTTTATCCCCGTGAATTATTTATAAACTTTGGAATTTGATCTAACTTCCTAAAAATTAATTGATTAATTATTTTAATTTATTTATTTTCCCTTGTCTTTCGGAAATTTTCAAATATTTTCATAAAATACAGAAGAATTCCATAAACTGAAGACAAAATGAATTTCCTCAACAAAATAAATTCCTTCTCATTGTCTCCGCCACAATTGAATGTCCCTGTGACTTT